CAATAGTGTTCGTCGTTGAATTACGAACGGCACATGAAAACGCTGATTACTATTTTGGTTTTGCGGCTGTGTATTTTGCTGTAGTTTATTAATTTTCATCAATTCCTAAATTCATTTTTTATGGATGTATATTTTTAGTAAAACAAGAATCTCTCAATACAAGAGCAAATATGTCATCCGAAGAAAAAGAGTTTTTACAGCACTTACTATCTTTGGAAGCGTTTACCCCAAAGCAAAAAATTTTGTTTGACGTAGCAGAGAAAATATATGGCAAGAAGATTAAACAACTGGAAGCGAAAGACCTCGTCGAATTTTCCAATGGCGAAGACACTTTGACAGAAAAGGCTTTGGATTATTTTAAATTAGACATTAGGCCGTATTCCCTGACCGCTTTTCGTTCAGTTTTGTTGCCCCCCTTCGGGCACTACTTTAAATTCACATGAATCTATAGATTTTTATACGCTGAGTACGAATTCACTTGTTGTCACTCGCACAAACCTGCAGTTTTTTTGTATTTTACGATCAAACATCAACATTTTTTATTAAAATTTCCGCCATTTTGTTCAGGAAACTTCATGTTATATACCATTATTGTACTAGTTCAAGTCTCTTAGCAGGGGGGGTTGCACGCGGTATTACGCATTTTTATCATTCTTCTGAGGAAAATATACACAGAAATAAATAAAAATATAGATATTTTTCACAATATTAAAATGCAAAAGGTAATAATACATGTTTGTATATAATCAGGAACTAATCTACTATTCTTTATTGCACCAACTTTTGGGTTTTTTGCCTCACCTTGATGTGAAATTGCAAAGACTGTCACTATATCCACAAAGACTCACTCGACTTGTCCTTGGTAAAGTTGTTTATTTTATTTTTACTGAAATTATGTACATAATTTTAGCCTTACAATGTGAATAGGCAATTTTTCTTTCAAATTTTTGTTAACAATGAATAAGGAGCACAATATACTTGTTGTTTAATTAATAAATGTTAGACCTATTTGTTGTTTAGTATAAAATGTTAGACCTAGTCACCTCGATAATTTATTAACACAAATAGATCATTGCCCATTAGTAGCAGTTGACCTCAATCAAATTAGCTCATAGAATAGAAGGTTTGGCTGAAACTCATTATTTATGTTAGTCAACGTTTATTCATAAATCTGGTCCTTCATCCTCATGTGTGTATTGTATTCTTGCCAAATCCACCTTGTATTCTTGTAATTTTCAATTTACCCTATTGTTCGAGTCACGGATAGGTAACTTTCCTAATACATTGCTATTGGTTAGTTGGGCAAAAATACAGAGACCAGATTTATGAATAAACCAGTGGTGTAACTTTACTTTTTTGACCACTTGCTCTCAGGGCAAGTTAATTGGACATGAAAATTTGTTGCCCTGAATAAAATTCATTTGCCAGGGGGCATAAATCAAGGGGGCAACATGTCGACTCATTCTCCCACTGCTCTATATGGCTATAATCGGACAAGATAAAACGTTTACTTGCCCGTCATGATATTCACTTGCCCCGGGCAAGTGTTAAGTTACACCTCTGTAAACGTTGACTAACATAGATGAGTTATATTGTTATTCTAATGAGTTTCCAAACCATCTATTCTATTAACTATGGTATGTTCCATTTTCTTGTATTATAATAAAATTTTTGCTATCATGACATTGAGCTTTATAAAAAAAACTTTTGGAAGATGTCTTTCACTCTAAGACAGACTGACAGCCTACTTTTGGTCTGTTTATATGGAGTTAACCCAGCCTAGATTAGCCATATTTTTTTAATCACTTTATTGTTATTAAAGTATTTACATTAGCAAATGGTGGCCATACAGGACATAGCCCCAATTGATTACAGCTACAATACAAGAAGCTTGCTTGGTGTTTCAATTTATATGACACTGTTGAGGCAAGCATATGCATGGGCTTGCTGGAACAAAGGTATTAAGCAAAAAAATATATTCACACAAGCAAATCTCAAAGTCATGCCACCCAGAGACATGAATTGGTCGAGCTATTTGAGGTTTTAACAACATATTGTCATGATAAATCATCACCTTAATAAGCTCTAATCCTATTTGAGCTGCCACTCATTACCAAGCACTTGGAGAAGGGATAATTTGTTAATTTATATTTGGCCAGGCAGGCCCTAGAAATTTAAAGTAATCTGGCATCACTATACCTACATACCAATATGCATTAGTTACATAAACCTTAATCTTTCCAGTTGGGCTAGCCCAGCTGCCTAGCCAAGACTCTTTTTTCCATGCCTTAGATCTTGGATAACAGCTGGGCATTAAATAATACTCTATTCACACCAATCTATTGATGTAAATAACATTTCTTCATTTCCTTTAGGGGTACCCAAGCCAGCCGGATACCCGAGCTAGCTCGCTTTGCCAAGATCTAACGTCGCTATGTAATTTAAACTAATATTCATCTTGCATTTATATGGAACTGGGCTGGCCTGTCTAGGCAAGATCTTGAGAAGTAAAAAATATTATATTATACTATAACTGTATTTATAGCAGTGATACCAATGATCTGATTTGGCTGGGATGAAATCAACTCGGGTTACCTGGGCTGGCTTGCCTAGGCAATTAGAAAGTTTCAAAGTTAAAATTTATTTTGAAATCTCTCTGAGGGATAAAACCTTCAAAACTTTATTGTTGACAAAAATTTCAGGTTGACAATACCCAGGAAAATTGCCTATTCACATTGCAAGGCTAAAATTTCAATAATAAATAAAATAAACAACTTTACCAAGGACAAGTGAGTCTTTATGGATGACAAGAACAGTAGATTAGTTCGTGATTATTTACAAACATGTATTATTACCTTTCGCACTTTAAAGCTAGATTACAGTCGCTTCTGCGCATGTGTCAAAAATGTAAACAAATGTGAGCACACTTGTTTTGATTTTGTGTGCTCTCCAGTCCTTATTCGGATATGCGCGCTCAAAATGGCCGACTCGTAAGAGTTATATCATAGATGGTTATATAATAGAGCCGTCCACTTCAAAGGCAAATTCTTCTAATGCTGGTCGCCAAAACCAACCAGGAAATCGAAAAGAACATTTCGCGAAAAGGTATGCAACGAAAATGTACTTTAATGATACTATTGGTCGGTGAAATCATTTCAAAACTGAAGCTGGAATTAAAAGTGACGAGGGTTCGCGAATACTATGCTGATCGAGCCTGTATACGAAACATCAAGACGGATTTAATTGTGGTAAGCACATAACACATATCCCTGGATATTTCAGTTATGTTAATGTTGTTATATTTCCTCATTACAAAATTTTATTGTTCACTTATAGCGCTGTGGAAACCCAGACGGATCAGTAGCCAGATGAAACAATACAATGCAGACATGAGCCATTGCCAGTATATGTTCAGCAAGGGGAAGAAACAGCAATGGAGCCATATAAAGATTCTTAAAGATTCTCCTAGGCAGTACGAATACATCCTACAACTTATAATGAAGGTATGTATAACATTTTATGCTTTCCTGAATCCTAGTGAGAAAAAAAGTGACTTTTAGTTTTCACTTTTCATTATGAAATTCCATATTCTTCATATCACATTTTCAAACAAATATTTTGATCGTTCTGTAGGCATGTTGATTGACGTGTTTTAAGAGCACTTAAGGCTTTTTGGAAAGCCAAATTTTGATTTGCATGAACATTATTAACAAAATCAAAATGTGGCTTGAAAAAAGCCATTTGAGTGTTTTTAAAACACATTGGTCAGCAGCATTTAAACAGGAATAAAACTAATTATAAGTCTTCTTTAGATATGTGGAATGGTGTTGCAAGTGATTACCGAAGGCAAATCGCTCCTAACATAACCCCTGTCCCTCCTCCTTCAGTCAAAGAACTTGTTGAAACCCATCAGTATAAATTCAACTGATCACTGTAGACAAGTGTCTGCCAGTTAAAACAAAGTGCTCTGTTAGGTGGAGCTCATAATCCCTGAAAGGCAATCCACCTAGGAGAAGGAAATCTGATTACAAACCCCTGGACCCCAATACTGAGCCAGGGTGTCCATATTGGATTCATTGATCTTCGGTGCACAGCAATACACTTTTCAGGACTGAAGTAAGGAGCAAGGAGTAATTTTAAAGAATAAAAAAATCAATGTCAATATACAAAATGTTGTGCTTGAACATCCAATGTATTTGATAACTGGTCTTTTATATAATGAAATATTACTGTTCATAAACATTTAACCATTAACATGATAAAGGCTTTCATTTGTTAGCAAAATTTGCTGTGGTTAGTAGACAGAGAAAGCTTATAATAAGTTTGAAGCAATTTTGAACTGCAATTTTCTTCTTTTGGTGTATGTGTTAGAGTAAATAATAAAGCCATGCAAAGTAATGTTTCCTGTAATTTTGCTAAAACACAAATGCCAAAAGGAGAAAATCAAAGTTTAAAATCGCTTGTGTGACCGGGCCTTAACAGGTGTGAATTACCCAAGTTCTTTCAAAATATTTAAAATGATCCTCCCTGTCATGGGGAGATAATTGCAGTAAAATGGATTAATGAATAATAAAGTTTCCCTCAATGACCCCTCGATCTAATGCATGGCCATGTCCAGATCGAACATTTCCATCAAGTACTAACTGTGCCACTGTGGGAAGAGAGGGCTAGGCGGTTATGCAAGGCTGTCTTGATTGTGTACAGCATTTGTTTACCCATTTTGTTGGCATTGCAACACAGCATCCACATTTGTAATACTCTGAGGCATTTTCTGGTTTTTCGTAGCTGGGTCTGGTTGAAGCGGTTCACCTGGCAATTTACCAAATTGACAAATGCAGCTGGCTGATGCTGTATAAGCTCTAACGCAAATGCTCTTCAAAGGGCATTTAAATCCATTGCTTCCACAAGATTCTGAAATGAATATATTTATCATTAATTAAATTCAAAGACTCAAGCACAGTGAAACACAGATATTTCTTACCACCAAATTACTGCATTTTCACAGCTATGTACACTTGTATATAGACAGGTAAGCCTTTTTACATAATTTGATATTTTACCCAGCAAGGATATGCATAATTATGTGGGGTATTTAATAAAATAAATCATGTGTGTTAAAGCCAGTGGTTAAAGCTTTCAGAAATATAAGTCTGTGTATATTTTTGGCAGGCAAAGTATCAAAATATGTAAACAAAGTTTACCCAGCTATTGTTAGATAATCATTATCCTTTGAGTGAACTATCGCGGTGAACAACATTACATATTCTCAAATGAACCATTGCTCAGGCCACATTTTTTTGCGTATAAACTAACAAAACATATATAAAGTTATAAACTAATGAACAAATACAATAAGATTACATGTGAAGCACGTTTCTAACGAACAGTACATAACTAATAGCAATAATACAAACTCACCATCTGTCCTTCGATTGTTCATACATGTATCAAAATCTTTTTCGCCGCACGCGCTTGAGCAAAAAATACCCATACTCTATCGATGACAGAAGCTGGAGGCCCCGCTGGAGCAAGCCGCGACATGAACATATCGTTTCCAATTCTTCCAGCGAAAAGCTTTCTCCTAGTGCTTCTGCCATGACAGCAACAATGACTTTGGCAATGTGTTTTGACGAACAAATACCCCAAGGAAAAATTAGTGATTACTTTGACACTTCCAAAGTTTATTTTACAATGCCGAACATTAATATAATCAACACAATGACTCGCACCTTTGGGTCGGCTTTGTCGGTCTCTTCTGAATGTTTCATCAACGAGGCACACAAAAAACAAATGCCGAATTGATCAACAATATATCTTCCATTCATGATCTTTCAAAATATTTAATTGCTTGTCTTTCAGAAGACAATTTTAAAAAAATTAACAACTCCACTCCTGACTCGGACTCCATTTATATAGTGCATAGCCGCTATACTTCATATTATACAATTGAAGTGGATCCAAACCAAAACAAAAAATGTAAACAAAGCCCGCACATGCGCAGAATGGACTGTAATCTAGCTTTAATATTGTGGAAACATATCTATATTTTTATTTGTTTAATTGTTTCTGTATGTTTTCCTCAGAAGAATGATAAAAATGCGTAATACCATAGGTCTCCCGAAAAGGTTTTTTATTTAAAAAAAATCCATATAATTTGCTTTAAAATGCAATGCTTTGACATGCAATGCTTCGATGTACAGTAAAACCTCTATATTTTGTATTACATGAAGTACGTGTAACATCACAATAGCGTTGTGTCATTATGTACACAGCAAAAAACGCCAGCCTGTAACAATGTTGTTGAAAACAGGCTTGAACAATGTTTTGCTGCCCACGTTGTTCACACTTGTCAACAATATTGAACAATATTGTTGAGCTTGAATCGGGTGTAACAATATTGTTCAATATTGTTGACAACTGTGAACAATGTGGGCAGCAAAACGTTGTTCAAGCCTGTTTTCAACAGCATGGCGTTTTTTGCTGTGTACACAGCCAAAAACACATCAGGTTGTTGCAGTATTGATGGCTGAACATTATTGCAACAATGCGGTTATCATGGTTGAACAACATTGCTGAATCAGCAGTACTGTTCATTGTTGTTTCAACAACGCTGTTCAGTATTGACAAACCAACAATAGTTGTTCAAAGTTGTTTCAACAGGTAAAAATTGGAATGATGGAACAACCTTGTTAATTGCTGTTTGAACATTATTGTTCAGCATTGTTTATTGAAAAGGCTAGAACAATATTGTTCTGTCAACCATGAACAATGCTGATGGGCCAACAGATTGTTTTGCGTTGTTTGAACAAGTATGAACAATGTTGTTGAACTTTGCACACGTCACATGTTTGTCACGTGTATAGCCCTAAGGTTTTTTAAAGGATAAATAAGGATACCTTAGGCGTTATGAGGATAAATTAAATTACATTCAGTTTCAACCATACCACATGTTTCAACCGTTTGCCTTCGCGTTTTTCGAACGTTCAGTGAACTTTGTTTCAAGAAAACTGACTATTTTTAACAACTGATATTCACAGATGCATTCCCTACTTGGAACTAATGTTGATTCTGAAGCTGATAACAAATGATCAATGAAACGAAATGGGATATAATATGGCAAGCCAACTGTAGCAATATTCAATAACTACATTCAACGTCAATTCAATGGAAAATTCAACGTCAATTCAATCAAAATTCAATTTCAACGAAAATTCAACTTCAATTCAATGAAAATTCAACATCAATTCAATGAAAATTCAACTTCAATTCAATGAAAATTCAACTTCAATTCAATGAAAATTCAACTTCAATTCAATGAAAATTCAACTTCAATTCAATGAAAATTCAACTTCAATTCAATGAAAATTCAACTTCAATTCAATGAAAATTCAACTTCAATTCAATGAAAATTCAACTTCAATTCAATGAAAATTCAACTTCAATTCAATGAAAATTCAACTTCAATTCAATGAAAATTCAACTTCAATTCAATGGAAATTCAATTTCAATTCAATGAAAA